GATTGCATTCACAAAGTGCATAATTTGAGAGTGGGGAAAAGGAAAGAGAAGAAAAAAAAGGAACAGAGTGAAAGCAACCAACTTAATACATGAAATAGACCAACCCTCCACTGTTCAGCGGATATTTCAGTTTACAAACATATCTGTGAGGGAGAAATAATACAACTAGGTTTTAATTTTGATTGGTACCAGTGTTAATAAATCAGCTACTGAGTTTCATCTCAAAGTCCAACTTTTCCTTCTAAAAAGAATACTGCTTCATGATGCCATGACCTACGCCAGAGTCTGGAGGCAGCGGCTGTATTTAATCTATCCTCAGTTATCAGCCCTATCCAGCTGGCAGAGACCAGGCTCTGATCGGTATTGATAAGAATTACATGGAATGTGAGATGAGTTTGTCAATGCACTTTCAAAACCACTCAATCTACATCCGAAAAGCCAGTTTCATTTCATAAAATATGCTGCAAATCATTTTCATACAATAGACTGTAAATCACTAATAACATTTGAAAATAAATTATTTTATTTTCTAACTAATGATTGAAGGATGTGCGAGTTGTATTATTTTACTTTAGGATCATTCTTACCTTATGGGCTTTACAAAGTGCTATATATAAAATTGTAAATAGTGTATTGTACATACAATACATATTATAAAAAACCTAATCAGCTTCTTTGGTGGCGTGTTATCTGCACTGCAATATTAATTCTGGGAATCAGACAACACAAACTCAGAATTACAGATTCTAAAAGATTTATTTTTCCAATGATAAAAAAAATCGTCAAACAATGTATGTTTTACCCCCACTTCAATTTTCGCCCATTACCTCTCTTCTACTGAAAGCTGAAACTGCAGCTCATGCTACAGTTCCAACATCAACTTGAAGTCATATAGCAAGGTAGTGTCTTAGAGCGCTTAATAGTGGCGGGGTTGGAAGAAGGGGAAGGTGAGCACATATTATTTTGGTATGATGGTGGCTTCTTTATTGATTTTAGCATGCATAGCAAATTAGGAAGACCTGCTTCAGAGGAGATTAATTAATGCCATCTTGAGCTTTCAAATCAAAATTATGACCCATGTGATTTTGATGTGATAAATTAAAACATTCACAACCTTAGTTACAAATTCTGAAAGGATGTTGCGAAACGTGCAGATGTTGGTTTTCATATAAATTTAGCTTGCAAAATAAAGAACTCAGCAAAATTGGAGATTCTGGATCATTTAGCTCAGGTTTCTAGACAGCAAGATTGATTTGATTTAAAAGTTAAAAATCTTCACTAAAACAGTCTTAATACTCACTGTACCAGGATTCTAAATAGTCTTAAATTGGCGACACATTTTACTAACAAAAGGTCGTTTTTGCCTCCTGCCAGATGTTGCTTTGCTCCACTCAGGTGTAACAGTGATAATCTCAGTAATCTGCCTTTATTCCCCTGGCAAGGGGTGGTAAATTTATCCCCTATTCAGTCTTTGGATTCATTTCATTTATCAGTTGAAGCCCCCCAACAGGTATCTAATTAGGCATGCCACTAATCAGGTAGAATTGTACATGATTGACGACTAAGGATTTGCTATCTGGTCTGCACAAAAAGTAAGATATTCACTTACAAGAGCAAGAGATTCATCAGTACATACAGGGATGCAACAAAATCCAGCAGTTAAGTTTAAGCTAGATGCCAACTCCAAAACATTTTGCTACATAATAATACAGCTTAGAAGGTGGAAATGTTTTAATATGCAAGTATTTCAAATTTGTTTTAAAGCAAGTTTGACTTGTGATGGGTACAAATTAAAATGATAAAGTACAGTGAAATACATAATACTGTATGCAAAAAGTTAGGATGTGCAAATCTTTCATGCAACAATAACTATTTTATACACCAACAGAGAAGTAAATTACAAGCATGTTCCAACAACGTTACAAATTTATTTTTGTCATCAATAATTTAGTCCCAGTCAACAACAACTTGCATTTATATAATGCCCTCCACATAGGGAAGTGTCTTGACCCTGTCTTAATGTGTCATTACCACGTATCCTATCAATATCTCGGCCACATTTATTTATGTATTTATACATGTGCCTGACTCACCACTCTTGCCGCTTGTTACTGAGCTCTTTTCCCTTGGAGTGACAAGTTATCAGGAATTTACTGCATATCCAAAGCAAACATGTGTTTCCATACCATACAGATATTTCCTATTAAACAAGTGGCATGGTTCTGGCAAAAAAATTACCAAAATTGTTTTCACCTTTTCAGTTCTCTCCGAGAACCTCACTCCCACCTTCACAGTTCATTACAGCCAATTGCTTAATATTGCATGAATCTTGGTTGTACTATAGTTTTAAGCAATTATTGAGACTCATTCAATTTTAAACATTTGATTAATAAGGTAATCAGCTCCAGCAGATTTTGTAGTACTCCAATACAACGAGGAGAGAAAAAGTATTAGATTGGCACATTCAGATGATGAAAAGCTTCCATAATCTACGTTGCTAATGCAAACGTAACATTTATTTTATTTTTGGCTTTTCATCAACAAATCAAGGATGTTCAGTTACAGTGTAGGTGGACTGCCTGATAATAAATAAAACATTTCAAATAAAATTAAAAGTACAAAGATTACATTACTTGTACCAATTTTTTAAAGTTTATTAATAACACTAAAACTTAGTTTTATTTTTAACCAGTCCCAGTAAAACTATTTCTTATTCACAGTAAAGCACCTTATAGTACGTGAGGAAAGTTGTTCGTAGCTGTACTAACAGGCATAAGAGGAACCCAGCTTCGACATTTTCAAATAGTTGAACAGAAATATAGCAATTGCAATTCTGGACTAATACATTTTCTGACAGATTTAACTCTGAAGCTACATACAATGCTTAGAATTTTCAGAAATGAAGTCCAAGGCTGAATGTTCTTTCACTGGCTATCATACATAACGGTGAAGCTGTTGTTCAGGTTATCACAATACAATTTTCAATAATATACATTTTTAAAGGGATTGAACTACAAAAAGTTGTTTTCAGGTTTGCTGAAAATAACGTTGCATTGATATAGCATCTTTCATGTAGTTAAACATGCTTCACAAAATATTCTAAAAATGGTATTGATAATTACAAATTGGCATTCAAGGACAAATTATTCACAAAATTGAATACTGCTGGTTCCAGCCAGCACATTTGTGAAGAAGGTTCAAACACAGATGCAAGTAGTAAAGGAAGCAATCTTTTAAGCTTTGCTTTTGATATGCCTATTATGTCAAAAGTTGCAAAGAGCTCCACAGCTTTCTGTCAAGTCTGCCATTTTTAGGTAAATATGACAGCCAATTTGTGCTCAGCAAGTTCCCATTAACAGCGATGAAGTGAATGACCAATTTTATCTGGGGGACTGTTGATTAGGATACTTGGAGAAATTCCCTTCTATTTTCAAATAGTGCCATGGAATCTTTCACTTCTTTCTGAACAGGCAGATGACATCTCAAAAGGTATCACCTGAAGAAAGGTAACCCTGACAATGCAGATTTCCCAGTGCTATATTGGAGCATCATTCTATGCCATGAGTCTCAATATCTCGGTATAGGGCTTGAATCCTCAACCTTCACATATGGAATCAAGTGAGCAAGTGACTTGTGATAACACCATTTTCACCTCACCAATTTAAATGTAACACATATTTGGTCCCTCAACTGCTTTGAGGATGTATATTACAAGCAAGATCAACATGCATTCCAGAAAAACTTTGGAGCCTAGCACCTCTGCAAAACTGGAGGTGACTGACCCCAGAAAAATCTGAGTTGTTTCTATATCCAACTCCCCTCCACCCCACCATGGTCAAACAGTTCTTAATCCGCTCATAGAACAGTTTCCATTTAATTAAACAAGTCCATCTGGATCACACAGAGGCCTCCTCTGCAACATATATAAAAAAGTTATAAAACGAAGATTTAGAACAGTAGCTGCAAAGATGAAATGCTGTGACAGGATAACCCAATTATAACACTCCTCACTGTAATGTGGATTTGTGTATGATGAGATTGGGTTGTGGACCCCAACAACTTATTACTTGAAAATCGGAATTTCGTCATTACACATCAAATTGTATCACTCTGCTTCAAATCAAATGTTGTGATGACCTAATTTGAAGCACAACCATGGGATTGGAAGTGCAATAACATGATTTGAAGCACACTTCAATCTCATTGTCAAGACACTGTAGCTGCACAGGCATTGTCGCACCCAACATCATTGACTTGTAGCATTACAAGGCAGGCTGTCAACTACCACTTTACAATGGGGCCATTCTGTATTTATGTTGACTTTTATTCCTCCCTATATTGATGGGGGGGTGGGGGCAGGGGCAGGAGGGAGGAAACAAACTACTTTTAATCGCAAAATATACCCCATGGCTTCCACTTCTTTTAAATTATTGCTTTTAAATTATGAAACAAATGTTGTCTACTCTATGCTTCTCACAAAGCATTTTAAAAGACCAAAGCTTTCCTTTATTCATTTATAATTGAGTTCTACAAAACAATCCACCATGTTCATGTATTCTAAGTTTGTCCAAACACTTTAAACATGCACTTGTGAAAATAAAGCAAAGTTGACTCGTAGATTGTTTCTAGTAAGCACAACATGAGACAAGCCATTCATATCACATTAATGATAAACTGTTTTCTCTTTCCAATGGCATTGAATGCAATGTGATGAAGTATGAGCAAAAGGTGTACCAGCAGCAACAACACTACTTCTGTTATACACCCTATATGGTTTAGGCAACAAGAAATGAATAATATCGCATTCCACATTTGGTCTTCAGGGACAAAATACAAGTCATGTTTCACTGTAAGAAACGTTCATACTAAAGGCAAATGAGTCTCCAAGGCAAGGACTCAAAAGCTGTGGAAAAACAACATTTTGCAACTGGGAGACATTTTTCATAATCTCAGTCACCAGAGAAGTCCTTTGCTTGTCATCCTGTCAAAATCGCTCTTACCTGAATAAGCCCAGTATGGATCCCCAGATTCTTTGCGCCTTCGTATATGAATAACATTTTTGAGCTTGTTCTCCTGCAGAGATCCAACATGACCTTCTGTCAAAGCTAACAAAAGGGGAAAATGCAAGACAATATTTAGATTAATCAATAAAATAATTTGTTTGTAGATTTATTTTAAAGCTGAAGAAACAAGACTGAAGTTAATGCAGCATATGTTCAATAAAAAATATGTTCAATACATTTTAAATGGTATAAAATTACAACCCATCTTTCCATCATTCAAATACTTATGTATGAATAATGAAGTTGTGCGCAAATGGCTGCCGTGTTTCACCCACAAAAATATACAGTCAATTCACCTTACAGTATATTCTGTCAAACGCTTTGAGACGACTCAGACGTGATAAGGTGCTATATCAAATGCAAGGATTTGTCAGGCATGTCACCTTGGAGCCAGTTCAGTTCCAAGGAGACACTGCTTACCTCCTCCCCAAGGAACATTTTGCCTATCCATACCAAGTCTCATTTCAGATTGTTTTCTTTCCAATCTCATTTCCCCATCTTTTCTTCATATCCCTGTGGATTCCAGTAGCTTAGTTGTTAGAGCAAGTGAGAGGACCTGGGTTCGATTCCTGTGTAGGGTGAAACGTTGGACAAGTTTCCTTACTCCACACGCCACTGATTACCTAGCAGTAAATAGGAACCCAGTTGTTAGTCAATTGGCGGATCGCTTTTCTGGAGGTAATGATCCCATCAAAAAGAAATAATAATTTGGTCACTCAATCTACGACTGTTTGTGGGACACTGCTGTGTGTAATTGGCTGCCGCATTTCGCCCACAATAATAGTCAATTGAACAACAACAACCTGCACTTATATAGTGTCCTCCACACAGAACAGCATTTCAAAGCGCTTAACAATGGCGGAGCCTAACTCCAAGCCTGGTGGGAGGTGGCTGTAAGCATGGTTGAAGAGGAAAATTTTCAGGCAGGGCTTGAAAGAGGGGAGAGAAGAGAGGAGGCAAGGCAGAGGGATTGAGGGAGAGCGTTCCAGAATTTTGGGGCGTAGTGGCTGAAAGCACGACCTCCTTATATTCAGTGAAGCGCTTTGAGACATGTGAAAGGCACTATGGAGACCTGCAGCTCAGTGGTTAGAACACTAGTGTCGCAACTGAGAGATCTGGGTTCAATTCCCAGCAGCTCAAAACCTTGTGCAAGTTTCCTTACTCCACACACCTGATAATAATCCCTCAAGAAAAAAAAATAATAAATTACCCCTGGTAAAGCAATCCTGCAATCGACTAACAACCAGGTTCCAACTTAATGCTAGGTAAACAGGCGTGTATAATAAGGAAACTTGCCCATCGTTTCGTCCCACCCTGGAATTGAACATAGGTTCTCTTGCTTGCGATGCGAGTGCTCTAACCACTAAGTTACAGGGCTCCGCAGCAGCAGAAAACAGAGCACACATCCTATTCAGCATTGCTGCACCATTTATTTCGAACTATGTATGAAATAAAATTCAACAAAGTTCTTTGCTGAAATTTCTAACACCATTAGATCCCAATTGCAGGCCAAATAGAACCAAAATGAAAAAGTTGATATGTATGTATGAGCAAATACAATACATTTAGGTTACAGAATGGCATGGTGCACGCGCACACACACAACAGAAACAACAAATTACTTTCCTAGTTACAATAACATGGGTCGATTGAAAAGCCTGTTTTTTTTATGGCAGCTGCTCATGCTGTAATTATTGAAGCTTCTAAGAAGTAGAGATTCAAACTTCAATACAGCACAGTACTGAGAATTGAAGATAAGCAGGAATGTTTGCCAAAAACCCATCAATGGTTGTACATACAGATTTGGGGCTTAAAGCAAAATTACCGTGTTTCAAAGCTTCATCAAGCATGGCTTTGATATGTACATGTCAACTTCAAAAGCTTTGTTACCATCCCCAATTGCTGTTCACGCTTCCTAATCCAATTTTTCATCTCTCCAGCTTCAGTTCACACAGGTACTGAAACTGAGAAGGGTTTGTTGCAGTCTTTTTATCAACTGTTCATAGAAAGATTACCACCTCTACTAAGAGACCAATTAGAGAAAACACTTTTTCAAATAATTAAAATGGATACTTGTGTTCCTAAGCACTCTGTTTAAAGACGGTCTCATACATACATGTACATCACTTGAAAACTAGGTTTAAATGATACCCAGAAATCCCTGATTGTAGAGAAAGTGAATGGGACCAAATAGATCAGGAACACCAGTGGAAGATTCCGACCCTTCTGTTTTAAGTTACCTGATTTCAACTGGCATATCAGAACACCAGAAAAAAATCAGACAACTTTCACCAACATTGGCTCTTGGTCACAGGAATAGGGAATGGAAGGAAAATGAAGTCATCTGAGATTTCAGGTTCAAATCAATTTTCATTGATCTCTGCTGGAAAGTATATATGCGTGAACATTAGGTCCAGCTTCAGAGGGCAGTGTCATATTTAACTATGTACATCGTTGTCTCACATTAAGAAAAGTCTTTCGAGGGGTGCTTAAGGTTGGAGAGCATCGTAAAGCTGTATCCCAGATTAAATCAGTGCATTCAGTATAAAGAAAATAAATGGGGGAATGGAAGAGTATGGGTTAGGGTTATTTTCAGGGACCTTACAGAACTCTAAAATCACAGATCTGCAATGGTGTGCAGCACAAAACAATACCCGGTACTACACAAAACACACACCAATATAGTCACTTCAAATACTGAGCATAATAATCCTTGCATTTGATACAGCGCCTTATCACGTCTTCCAAGACGTCTCAAAGCACTTCACAGAATATACTGTAAAGTGAATCGACTGTATTTTGTGGGTGAAACACAGCAGCCAATTGTGTACAGCAGTGTCCTACAAAGAGTTGTGGACTGAAGTGACCAATTTTTTTAGCAGAATTATTACCCCCAGAAAAGCGATTCGCCAATTGATTAACAGCTGAGTTCCTACTTACTGCTAGGTAACCGGAGGCGTATGGAGAAAGGAAATTTGCCCAACATTTTGCCCTGCCAGGGAATCGAACCAGGTCTCTCGCTTTTCGAGGCAAGTGTTCTAACCACTATCAATGTTTCTCAGCATACTGATTTACAGTAGAACATCTGTACTTCAAATGTATGATAATAGATTGTAGATCTGTTGTATACTCAGTACTTCATTGAGAGGTAACTATACAAGATAGATTAATAGTTGAAATATGGCAAGAACTGTAGCATAGTATAAAAAAGCAATTTTGCAAATTGCTGTAAAATATTGGAGAATATAAATATTTATAAATATAAATAAATATATCCTGTGATGCAGGAATCATTCCTTTTGCTGTTGAGGCTTGAACCTCAACAGAAAGTTACGACTGACAGGTGAGAACAGCTTTATTTGGAAGAATCTTTACTTATTAATTTATCTTATTGTATTTAAGCAGCTCTAAAGTTCGTAGTTTGAGGTGGGAAAACAAGGATTTTTTTTTAAAAAAGCACTATATGCTTAGGATGCAACTAGAAAAAAATATCTGAAATTAAGATTTCTAATTCTGTAGTAATAAGTTGGAGAACTCGAAGGCTGAATTGCCTTCAAAGTTTTAATTTCTCTGATTCAATGAAGAAATCTAGGGATAAGTTCATTTGGGAAATAAATAATTACAAAAAAATGGTTTGTTTCTTGCCCTCCCAAAAAACTGCTTACAAAATAACCAGTCAACAAGACATAAAATAAACAACAGCATTTTCTAAAATAGATACATTTTGAACAATTCTGATGGGGTTTCCCAGGTCTCCACAGCCTTATCCTGTGTTGCAGGAATCATTCCTTTTGCTGTTGAGGATAAAATAGGACATCATTGGAAAGCATGTTGCTGCAGAGCATTGGAGCACTGAATTGTGGTTTTGCAAATTAGCTTTCCCAATTCACGCACTTTACAATCTCAGCTGTGCTTTTAATGTGTTCACCAGTCATGTGTACCATTCCGCACACTTTGGCATCCCAAAAAATTGCCAGTCATTGAAAGCGCAAACCGTGAACGTAAACATGGTCAAATAAAATCTCACATAATATGAAAGGATAAAGCTTCAAGATGAAACTTGCATTTCGCCCCATCTTTCCTGGGTGGAGCGAAACAGGCAAGTTTCCCTACTCCATGAGCACACACCACACACATGTTTACCTAGTAGTAAGTTTGTGGCAATAGGTGGATCGCTTTCTGGGGGTAATAATCCCTCAAAAAAAAATCTGGTCACCCAATCCATGATTGTTTGTGGACACTGCTGTGCGCAATTGGCTACTGCGTTTCGCCCACAAAATACAGTCAATCCACTTTACAATATGTTCTGAGAAGCGCTTTGAGAGATCTCTGCTACGTGATAAAATGCTATATTAAATGCAAGGTTTATTATATTATTATGAAACAGCAATGATTTGAATGCTTCATGTTGTTAAAAGGTAGGTACCCCTCCCAAGATGACTGTTGTCGGTCCATACTGGAGTCCTGTAGCTTAGTGTGGAGTTCTGTAGCTTAGCTGTTAGAGCACTTGACTCGCAAGCGAGAGGACCTCGGTTTGATTTCTGGCAGGGCAAAACGTTGGGCAAGTTCCTTACTCCATACCCCTCTGGTATGGAACCCGATTGTTAGTTGATTGGCGGATTGCTTTTCCAGGGGTAATAATCCCTTCCAATAAATAAATAATAATTTAGTCATTCAATCCATGACTGTTTGTGGGACACTGGTGTGCGCAATTGGCTTCTGCATCTCCCACAAAATATCAATTCACTTTTCAATATATTCCGTGAAACGCTTTGAGACATCTCAAAGACGTGATAAGGCTATATCAAATGCAAGGATTATTACTGATAATTTAACCTTATTTTGACTTTGGTGCCTGCATACTTCAAATAAAATATTATTACTTTATTTCTCAGCTAGCTTGACATATGTCATAATTCATTAGTTTAACAAATTAGGTGCTGACAAGACAAGAAGAGCAGGCATCTTAAGGCCCTAAAATAGGGGTGGAAATCACAATCAAAATACACTAACTGTTCTGAGCGGATTATTTTCTGTCGAGG